GTGTAAGCCTGAAAGTTCTTAAGTTTCATGTGAATATCACTACTCTGTAATAAATTTGTGTTTATGTTAATTTAAAAATATTTTTATTTGGCTTCTGCGAAGCATCTATAACAAGGTTGTGGCATATTTATTCATGACTTTGGTAACCCTCCAGAACATCCCTGAGTGTTCATGTCGTATGAGAAACACACTAGTTAAGGTGTTCCATTTTGGTCTCATCATGAAATTATATCAGAATTAAGAGAACTTCCAGATGTTAAAAGATTTGCCTCTATAAAATTAGTATGCAAAAAATTGAATGAGAAAAGAAAGGAAATATTTCACATGGGGCACCATGCCCGGCATGGTGCTTGGCACATAGTGAGTGCTCAACAAATAGTTGTTGAATGAACTAATATAGTTTTTAAAAAGTAATCACTAATCTCTGATAAATAAGAAAGACTAAAGGCCTAAGAGAATATTTGAAAGTATAGTGTGTCTTCTTAAGATGCTGGACAGGAGTTTTAGTTACTAGGAAGTATGCTCTAACGTACCCTCCGAATCAAGGGGAAAATGTCCGTTTGCATTTTTTATTTTAGGATTTTATCATTCCATAATTGGCAAGATACTAATATTCCTTGGATTAGCATGGAATAATTTATTGATGTGACAAGGTAACCCAGGTCCCTAAAATGGAGGTAATTTCTGGACTTTTTGGCTCTGCCCATCTAATTCGGAGAAGGGCCTGATGGAATGTCCTTGCATAGGCTTTTTGGTCTGGACATTGTCCAGTCCAGCCACCAACACCGTTGGGAGTTTGGAGGAGCTTTCCGAGTTATTAATAAAGTATCTCTTTGTTTCTCCTGTGACTGTTGTTCCTTTTTTACACAGGTCCTCACTAAGGATTCCCTAAGATACAAGTGAGTGATTGGGAAGATAAAGTCAGGACAGTTCTGAGACCCTAACAATTATTCTTTCATAATTATTTTCGAGTACCACTCTAACCCTAAATGTGCTAAATGCTTACGTCCCAGGCATTTTGCTAACACATTATTCAAAACAATTCTATGAAGTAGATTTTTTTCCCTCATTTAATGGATGAGGAAACAGCAGCCCATCAAGGAACTGAGCTCATCTAAGATCACATAGTCAGTGTGGGACCTCAGAGCCCAGGTTCTCTCAGTGATAATGAATGTCAACTCTAATGGGGCGGAGGGGGTGGGGGTTGGGGGCAGGAACAGGTAATTAAGAGTGGTCTTACCCAAAAGATTAGAACTGCACAGCAACTGCTCTGAGATACAAAACACTGCTCTGGGTAGTTTGCCTACAGTTTTACTTCTCTTCCTCAGACAAAAAAAGAACTCTATAATTTTTCATTATTTAAAATACTCAGCTGTGCTTATATGTAATTGGTATGGCCATCTCACTTCCAAACTTGCCCAAACCACCCAAATTACTATGGCAAAGTCACTTTGGAAGTTTCGGAACTTAAAGGTAATCGGAACTGTTGACCTCCAAAACGTGTTGGATGTCCTGTGTGCAGCCGAGTGGTTTTGAATGTTTATGAAGAAGTGTACGTCACCCTGCAGGACTGCTGCTGTTGCCTCCGGGCCGTCCTTCCCCGTCTCACTCCACCCCACCTGTTGTTCCAGTTAACCTGATCAGCATTACTTACTTTTCTGCCAAAGCTCACATATAGACAATGACCAAATCCTATTGATTCTGCCTCCTAGCATTTTGATCTCCCTCCTCTCTCAGTATCTGGCATCAGGAATCTGATTGTTACTACTGCACCCTCCCCTTACGCTCCTTCAGTGATTCCATTCATCTTCTATTAAAACCCAAACGCCCTCATGGAATCCTCTTTAGGACCTTGCAGCCGCCTGGCTCTCTTTCCTCGCCTTTTGCTGTTCCCCTCCTCACACTCTAAATGCCAACCTTAATGAACCACCTGTAGTTTTTCAGAAACTTCAAAGTAAGCATGCTTCTAGGACTGCACGCCTGCTGTTCGCTTTAGGGGAAGTGCCCTTCACATTTTCTTTATCGAGTTGCTTTTTTATTTCTCCCCTTAAGCATGAGTCCTTGAGGGCAAGGTCATTTCTTTACTCTCCATCTTAATTGCTAGCACAGACTAGACGGCTGCCGAGTGAACGCTGCGAGATGAGTAGTGAGTGGGAATGAACCAAATCTTCTTCATCATCTTCCGTTGTTGTCTCCATAGTTCCAACGCAGGTTAACTGGTTTCCTTCCTTCTCCTCCTCCTCCCTTTCTCTTTTATCCGTTCCTACATATCTCTGACTCAGGAATCTGTCTGAAGTACAGGTCTGCCCTGGTCAAAACTTTCCAAGGCTCACTAATTCCTGCAGAATGCGTTTCCTGCTCATGTCATTTACACCCTCTAGTGGACAGTCTGCACTCAGCCTGTCCAGCTGCGTTGCCCCTGTCTCTCCTCGCCCACCTCCGGACTCTAAACCTACCTCTTCTCCATTCTTCTGTCACACTCCATAGCATACCATCTCTGTGGTCTTGCTTATGTCATATCCTCATCCAGATGTTTCCTTGTCCTGGTCCCTGTCTACTGGATTAACAATCAAAGTGTCCCCTTCCCCAGTCAGAATGAATACTTCATTCTTTAGCTTTCTATACCACTTTAATTTTTTTCCCCATTATCATATAGATCACATTCTACTTTTATTATAGCCTTTGGTTTTTGTTTTATTTTTTGCATATCTGTATTCTAACAGATTACAAACTCCTCGAGGTAAGAGCTGAATCAGTTCAACCTTGGGAGCCACGGGCAAGCATGTGCTTCAACTCAGGCAGCCCTTGGTTTGAATCTCTATTATGCCACAAAAAGCTATGTGACCTCTTTCATTTCTTTCTCCTGGTTTCCCGGCTTGTAAAAGGAAGATAATAATACCAAAATTGCAACATTATTATGCAGATTAAATGAAATAATCTATGTAAAGTATATAGCTTAATGCAGTGGCCCCTGGCAGAAAGGCGACAAATGGTCATTATTATAGCTGCTGTTACTGGTCTGTAGTAGGGACTCACTATTGGAGGAGGACACTGTTTTGTTTGCCTGAACCTTTGATATTAATAGTTTTCATTTAACTTTGTGGCTAATCTCTAGCTATATATAACTGAAACTAGAAATTACCCATTAGGCTTGCCTTTAAGTATCAATCTTTTTTTAATAGCTTACAATCTTTTATTATTTATTCTGGTATTACAACATTTTACTGGGGGTGAGGGGCGGGGGAGGGGAGACCTTGCTTGCTTCTTCAGTTTTCCCGCCATCAGAGGGCCAGATCACTTCCAGTATTTGCGAAAGGAATTATTCAAGCTTTAATCCTTTTTAACTGGGCCTTCTCCATGCTGTTTTGTAATAGTGAACCTGAGTTGAATTTCTGAGCTTGAGAGTGACTGGCACCCACTGTGTGGCTCGAGGGGCACCAAAGCACCAGAGGGCCTTCTTTGGCCTGCAGGGGTTCGAACCCATCCTACTCTCCCAGCTCAGTTAACTTTTACTGAGTGTGTATGGACGCCACCATCTGAAGTCATAGTTCCTTGTATCAAAGAACTTGCTAAAACTGAAGCAGCTAAGGAAAAGGACATCTAATAATATTATGCTTTTGTAAATTGTTAGGAAAGATAGAGTCCAGATCGTTTTTAGTTTGAATTAGGTGTTTTGTGCTTATTATCAATTAGAGTTTTCCAGAATTAAATTATAGGAAGATGATTCAGGTTGAGGAAATACCTCATGTCTATTTTCTCATATTCTAACCAAGATAATGATGAAATGATCAAAGGAAAAAACCTCAGATATAAGTGTAAAAAATGTCAAGAAGTGATCATATATACTTAAAGCATATGCATCATCTTCCACAATGGTGAGACTAGGTTAAGAAATAGCACTAGAAATTGACTTAAGACCTAGACTTTGGCAGAGAAATGGCATATTTCCAGAGACCAAAATACTGGAAGAGAATAGGGAATCAGCTTCAGTTTCATCAACTATGTATGATGATTACTTGATGGTAGTGATGGTAATGGTGGTGATGGTGGTGGTGATAATAATAGGTAACAGTAAGCAAATTGGCAGGCACTGTACAAATTAATTAATGTTCAGTATCTAGTGTAATTTTTATAAAAATTCCTATGTGATAAATATTGTTATTTTTAGATTCATTTCATAGGTGAAGAAACTAGGCCCTCAACAGGTAGTCTTACCCAATGTCACATAGCTTGTAAAAGACAGAAGTGGGAGTTAAATTGGGGTTACTCTAATTTATCAGTCTTCCTAATCCCGGCGTTGTGCCGATATGGCTTACAAATCTTCTTTCTCTCCTAGAAAAACACTTAATAAATATATGTTGAATATATGAATAAATCTAAGTATATATAAAATATGTATAAGTATATAAATATTTATGTAAATATAAAAATGCCAAATATAAAACAATAGATTGATGGATTACATGCTCAAAGGCTGGTGGGCGAGGTGGGGAGGAGGTATAAATGTCACACTAAGGCTGTCGTTTGGCACATGGAATAGGTGTCAGGCACCTATTCCACCAGCTATGTGAGTGAAATTTGACAGACTGATCCCTTTGGCCTTCATTTTGGACTACCTAATCTATACAGAAGTCATAATATGCTAATTAATTGAGCAATCTGCTAAAAACAATTGAAAAATGAGCTTGAGGAATGTGAGTGTTAGTGCAAAAGAATCTTGAGATAACTTGTAGTTCAATTTCCTTTGTTTTATAAATAGTGAAATGACACCTGAAGTTTGAGAGAGCTGCCAGGGCCAGCAGACCTTAGAACTCTGCTGGACACTGCTGACTGAATCAGGGTTCTTACTTTACCAAGTTCGTACACACAGTAAATGCTGGTGACTTTTCAAAAAAGTTATTCTTAAACTGTTTTGATAAAATGTTCAGCTTAGATTCAATGATTTCACTTAATGAAAAGAATACATAGATCAATTTCTCTTTTTTTGTGATCCAATTTAGCTTACAGAAGAGATAGGAAAACTTGAAGACAAAGTGGAATGCGCTAATAACGCCCTGAAAGCAGATTGGGAAAGATGGAAACAAAATATGCAAAACGATATCAAGTCAGCGTTTGCAGACATGGCGGAGGAGAATATCCACTATTATGAGCAGGTAATTAGGGATATTTGATATTGTTTCACTTTTTAAAAAGTTATCTTCTCTTTTACTTTCTATCTGTCCTGTGTTGAAAGAGTCTAATAAGGAACCAAGTGTCACATTCAAAAGCCTCTCGGTGGCTCAGTGCCAGTGGAGTCGCCAGTTAATAGAGTAATGCTGAGCCCGCCCCCTGAAACAAACGTGTTCGTGTGGAGGAGAAACAGTGAGTTTTCTCCGTGCGCGGCTCGCCCCCTGCGCCTAATCGGAGCTGCACTTGACGTGGCAATTATGCTACCATTTTGTTTTGTTTATTTTCCCCTCACTTTCTAGTTTTGGAAGGATTCGAATTCTTCAAAAGCATTTGATAACGCTTCCTTACGATTCTCCTATCTCATTTCCTTTTCCTCTCCCTTTTCTATATAAATAAAAGGTTTGCAAAGTGAGGAAGAAACAATGATTCGAATGGACAGGAAATCAGTTCGTGTCCTATCCCTTATGTCCCTGCCATCCTCATCTTGCTTTCCATTGCTATTCAAAAAATCAAAGATACATGCTGGGTTTTCTTTTCTTTTTTCTTTTTTCTTTTTTCTTTTTTTTTTTGCTATTCAAATGATTATTGTATTTTTACAACGAACAGTTCCCTAAGGTAGTTATTATTTTAAATGAAGTCGATAATGTCACTTTCTTCATTCAGAATGTTCCAAACATTTCCTAGAAGATATATGTTAAACATACATCTTTAACATCATCTCTAGTTGAATTAATGAACATGTGATGTTGATACATTAGGAAAATTATTTTAAGCTTTACAGTCTATAATATCTATAAGTTTAAAGATACTTTAAAACATTGTATATTTTGAAAGATTAGCTAACTGATATTGATATTTTCATTCAACAAGAGCTACCGAAGTCCCTACTATCACCAGCCACTGTGCTGGACCCTGGAGAGACCACAGCATGCTGGTGACGCAGTTACAGTCAGCAAGGAAAATAGTCAATTAAATCAAATGACTGTAATAAAGTATAATAAATTCCAGGATAGAAAGACATTGCGGGAGCATCTAACCTGATGCAGAAGGAATGAGGAAGATTCTTCACAGGATATGTTTAAGCTGATGTCTGAAAGATGAGTAAGAGGTCGCCAGATAAGGATGAGAGAGAGTTCCAGGCAGAGAAAATTCGTGCACAAAAGTGAGAGAGAACACGTTCTTTTTTGAAGGATGAAGGAGTAGAGGTGATTTGAGCTGAAAAGGAAGCTTATAGGGAAGGAAAAAGTTTTCCTTGATCTCCTAAGGGTCCCTGGCTAGGTCTGACAATTAAACTGCAAAATTCGATTAACGGAGAAAAGCATACAAATTGGTTTAATGTAAGTTCTTTATGACACTGGAGCCTTTGTAAGCAAATGCAGATCAGAAGAGACAGACCTGAGTATTTTTATGCTGGGTTTGATGAAGAGTGGGCAGTCATGTAGAATGATCACAGGCTAAGGAGTGTGAGGTAAGTGTAGCCAGCTGGGGGGAAGCTCAGCAAGGCCTGTTTGTTAGTCTCCTTGGTGTCCCTTCAGAGTTCAGATGCTCCTGTCCTTTGGGTTAGAGAAAGCAACTCTCTGTGAGGGTTTTATGACCCGCATTAGAGGAAAGGGTTGGGAGAAGTTCAAAGTGACCTTCCTGCTTCTGCTTCTCAAACTCTTTCAGCTTAAAATATTCAACATGACAAGGTGCCATATTTTGGGGTAGCATGTCCTGAACCCCATTAGGCTGAAGAAGGCCTTATATATTGTCTTTTGTGTTTCATTCCAAGAGAAACGGGAAATGCTATTGAAGGGTTTTGAGCAAGAAAGCGATAATATCTTTCAGACTTGCCTTGTAGAGAGATCACTCTGGTCCTGTATGGGTCAGAGTGCAGCAAAGCGGGACGTGATGAGAGTAGGCAGGAGACGTTGCAGCAGCAAAGACAGGTGTGAACTGGCCTGGGGTTTCATGGCAGTCGGCTAGAGATTGGTGGACATGTTCAAGTGATTTTTTTTTTTTTTAGTAGGTAGAATTAGAAAGATTATTTTCTATATCTTTCTTAATTTCTTATTCTACATTAACAACCTTAAGTTAATTCAAGTATCTAAAAGGAATTTCCCATAAATCTCAGATTTTAAAATGATTTAAAACATTTCTGTTGAATAAAGCACATTTACCACAATAGGCTTCATTACCATTTAACTGTTTAAATCCACAGAAATAATTTCACCTCCCCTTTATAATAGCACCTGTCCATATTGACATTACAGGATCATTGTGACAATCAGCTGAAATAATCTATTAAAAAATGTCATATGGCAAATGGCACATACTGTGTTTTTCTTTCAATGGTAAGGTCTGCAAAACTTTTCTAAGTTAGAGCTGCTTATTTTTTAAGAGACCGTTCATAGCCATTCCATAGAACTCCAACAGAAATATTTGAGTTTTGGCTATACTTCTCACATAAATACATATATCTGTCATTCTCATAGATTGAATTCCATTTACACAAAATACTGTTTTCTTAGAAACAATTAAATTAGCATTACTGTGCCATATTGCCTTATCACAAATTTTGTTCTTCACAGCAATTTATATCAGTATGTTATGTTTTTAATGCTTTTCTCCAAGTGAGTTATAGTTCTAACTGCTACTAAATATGTATCCTGTACTTCATCTTAGATATATAAATTTGTAGGAATTATTGGTTTTCTTTATTATAACTTCAAAAGACCCCTACAGCTTTAGTTATTGGTTGGTTTTTTTCCTGAATGAATAACTTTAAACCGATTTGGCACATCAGTCCAAGCATAATCAGGAAGTTGGAGCTTTTAAATAATCAAGGCTTCCTAATTAGCACACAGACTTATGGCCTGAAACAGTAACAGTCTGCTGTTATCTGTTAACTTCAGAATATCTCAAATACACAGGGAAGTGAAATGTTCCAGAATCTTTCCATTCTTTTTTTAAATTTAATCACATATTTATGGAAATAGTTTTTTTTTCCATCAACATTTGCAAAGATAAATCCCCAAAGGGGCTTGTTTCTAGTATGATAGATGAAATAGGGTATAAACATTTACCTTTGGACTTCTCTTATGAAGTGAAATGGTCACAGCTTGTTTATATCAAAATTTAAATATCAAAGTGATAGAGAAAAATCAGATTATAAATATAAGGTAGAGGTCTATATCAGAAGCCAATTATTGTCATATCAAAATGTACTTTGATGTGTGAAGTTAGTTGGAGACAGTTGACACCAAATATAGAATAGTTATCTACAAATAAACGCTAATAGATAAAATGAGGTTATTACCATTTTGTCCTGTACGACCAATAATTAAGATTACATCTATCAAGTCTTTAAAAAAACAAACAAACAAACAAGGATACCAAAACAATAAACCTCAAAATCCAATTGAAATGGGTGAATAATTTCAAAATATACTGGTACCCAAATAGTCAAAGAAAATTAATTCTCGCTATAATATGAATGAATGCTAAAATCATAAAAAATGCCATGTTGGATAAGATGCATGGAAATTTTCTAATTGTTTCCTAGTAGGTATAAAGCAGTATCTGTTTTTGTAGTTATTGTTGCTGATGATAGTGATGATGATTATGATGATGGTGAAGAGATTTGAAAGGAAGTGATCCTTGGTAGGTATTACAAATTAAAAAAATATACTCTTTGAAACTTTAATTTTAATATCATAATCATGAAAAGATTACAATGTTAATTTTTGCCAAATAAATCAGTTTGTAATTAAGTGAACATAATACTTAAAGTAATATAATTTATTCCTTTGCAACCTGATTTTAGAATTTTAGTGCATCGAGTCCTTGTTTCATAGCCTTATTTCTCTGGTTATAAAATTAATAAATGCACACTAAAAACAAACAAGTATAAGAGCAACAAAAGCTAAGTACACTAACATATAAAGAAGAAATAAAAACTGCCCATAACCTTTTCTCTTAGAGAGTGGTACATTTCAATATAATTATAGAAAAACAATTTGCTATGTTCGTATGTAAATATTTTTAAATTTCTGCATGGCCCTTTCTGAATGTGTCAACATAAAAATATATGGTTACTTATGTATTTTGTGTCATGATTACAGTGGACATATATTATTTTGATTTCCACATTTTTCACTTTTTAAAATACTTTTCTATATAATGACATAATCTTCATATAATACATCATGTTAATATACATTTATCTGTGAAGAGAACTAATAGTTGAGCATTTGTTTTGTTTTTTTGCTCTTAAATAATACTATTAAAAATAATTATGAACGTTAGACTTTTAAAACTTTTTTTAAGAATTTCAAGAAATAACCAGATCAGAGGTCACTTCATTTCAAATGCTATCAGTCTTATCTAAGAATGTCAATTGCCTCATGAAAATCATTCATTTAAGAATCTCTTAGCATCAAAACCATGTGGTAAGCACTACAGAGCATCCAAATTCAAATTTAGATTTTGCTATTAGGTTACAGTTTATTAGGGAAAAATAATAAACATAGATAATAATCATATATATTTTTCTTTATTTAATACAGCTTTACAGTTTATTAATTTTTTAATAGTAGAATACTTAAGTTAGTTTTATTTACCTGAATTATAGTGAACAGACTTAATAGAAGGGTCTGTCAGTACTGGATAATATAAATATCTGTATCTACATGAAAATCTAGGAAGCAAAAAATCAATTATGGTGTATAATAACAATTATAGTGTAATATAACGATTATATTTTCTGGAAGATAAATGAAGAAAAAAAATTATGACAAGAGTATACCATCTAGCAAAATGAATAATACAGCTAATGCTTTCCTAAAATCCAAGTCCAGCGCTTTATGGACCATTTAAAAATTAGAGAAATTAAAAATATTGATATCATAGCAATAAGTAATGGATGATCACTGACTGTCTTAGAAGTTCTTTAAATATAGTTATATTTATTTAGAAATGTATTCCTTCTTATGTTTGGGAATGA